ATGTGTGTTGAAAAATTCTCTGAATATCCACCACTTGGTCGATTCGCCGTACGTGATATGCGTCAAACAGTTGCTGTTGGTGTTATCAAAGATGTCGAAAAGAAAACTCCAGTAGCAGCTAAAGGTGGCAAAGCAGCACCTGCAGCTGCTGGTGGTAAAGGCAAAAAATAGCAAATGCAGCATCGTCGCAAACACACATCACGAACAGTTCAACTATATTTCTATTTATTACTACTAAGAGCAGTTAATTCTCTCATTGTTGTTCAACTCTTCTTAACTATTTTGTGGGAGAGACGACGGCAACCGAAAGATTTCTTCTCTTGGCAGTATAACCTTCTATATCCTTCTAATTTTTTCCTTCTTTTTTCCTAATGAGCAAAATTCTTTTCTCTTTGTATAATAAGGTATTCGATTCTTTGAAATATTCATATAAAAATTTATGCTAGTTGTATTTTTTCGTGATATAAAGATCAGATGTGTTTGCGAAATCTTTTTTTTTGTATTTTTAACAATGAAATGCTATGTACTCGATATCAACAATTACTTTGAAAGAACTATTTAATACAATAATAAATTTATGAAAACCTAATGTATTCTTTATTTCTTTTTATTAGAATTGAATATCAACATATTTTTACGAGTATGTCTAGGGTTTGAGTGTGAGTGTAGATGTGTTTATGAGTGTCAGAGTAAGGTTAATGTAATACCCCACACTCTACACCCACCCGCAAGATGGTTCAGACGACTTCTGCTTCACAACAATATATTGATCGTCCAAAGACACAAGTTAACCAACAGACTTTGTAGAGAATTTTTTTCATAGGAAAGGATTTCACCGATAGAATATCTCGTAGATAGAGGTGTAACTAAAGTCAGAGTATTGGTGAGGATGAGTGTACAAGTGCATTAAGAATATATCAGACATCCATATCTTCAATTTCATGTCCATGAAATCTTGTGTCTACCAAAAATTTTCGATAATCTGACTATCGAAAAATACACCTGTATGAATAATATAATTCCCTCTATTTCATCAGATTTTTTTGTTGTTCGAAGATATATTTATCCTGCATTAAGATAAATACAGTTTTGTGTTGACGATGCTTAATTGCACAGCACTTAAATTCATAGAAATTCTTTTTCTCTTTCTTCGTAATAACATTTCTTGTGTATTGTGGACCTTTAATGTCTTATTCTCGATGTTTGCACATTCTTTCGCAATTAAGTGTGTAGTTGAAAAAAAATACAAAAAAAAGTAACTAACGTTGCTACTTTATAAAACAAACTAAATGGATTATTCCGCGAAAAGAACATTCAGTCACGCACACATACAATACTATTCGAGGTTTATAAATTATCAGAATTTGTTCAAATCATTCAATTTAAACAATTTTATTCCGGTAGTTTTTAAATTTAAATTATTGAAAAGAAGAAAAATATTCAAGTTTCGTGAGTTTTAAACTCTTGAGGATGTGTAAACCTCTAAAACAACTAAAATCAACGGTTCTCAAGGAATGTAGTAGGATTTGGATGTGAATATAAGTAAGTTATTTTCACTCACACCCACATCCTACTCTTTATTTAATCATACTCGTAATGTATGATATTTAATTTATCTTGATAGTTTTCAAAATTATTTATTCATATCAACACATCATCTTACCTTTTTATTTGTTAAAATTTGACTAAAATTTATTATGTCTTTCAGTAAATTATGTAAATGTTCTTCTAATTTTTAAGCTTATATCTTGATGAAAAAAACACTTTTTATTGTTCATCATATGTCATGTTTTCTCATCATTATTATCAGAAAATATTCATAAAAAAACTAGGTCGGACATTGTCTTCTTTCCCGTTCAGAGAATATTATTACTGATGTACAAGTGAATGTGAAAAAAAGAAAATATCTCATATATTTATTATCGAAATATTAAAGTAATTGAATACTTGTAAAATTATGTGTTGTTTTTTAATAGTTGCAGTGTGAAAATATCTATACGACTTGACTAATATTGAGTAAATTAATTATAATTAGTAACTGAATCGATACTATTCGTTTATTTACAGAAAACTACACAATAAGGTGTTCCTTTTCTTCGAGACAATTAAATGATCAATGGATGACTTTCTTTAGAAATATGTTGACAGAGATCGATAGATTTGTTATAGTGTTCAATTTCATAATATCTTCTATTCCATTCTTTTCGAATGTCATCTAGTTATTTATATGATTGAATAAAAGAGAAAAAGAAGTCAGATCTTATTCTCAGTTAGTATCTTTTACGATATTCTTTCTACATCAGATGATTGTTGATAAAATACAAAATTCGTTTTTTTCACATGCATTCAATATATCTCTCAATTAAATCCATCGGTT